TAATAAAAAAATAAATAATTATTAAATTAATATTATATAAAGTAATATTATAAAATTAAAATTATTTATATAAAAAATTATAATATTTATTAAAATATTATTATACTTATTATAAATATAATAATTATATTAAATTTTTAATATTATTTTAAACGAATAAAATAATTTTATAATTTATAATTATATTTATAATTATTTTTTTTTTTTATATTAAAGCGTTAATGTAATGCCCGCCATTACTTATATTTTATTTATTAAAGTATTATTTTTTATTTTTTTTTATTTTTTTTTAAATAATGTAAAGTAAGTATATATATATATATATATATATGAATAAGTATAGTAATAACTATATTAATTAATCATTTTCTTGAAAGTTGTGTTTTCTGGGTTCGTATATTCAAGATCTTGAATAATACAAGCCGTGTGTTTATTAGCCGTTCAGCCATTGTGGTATGTTGGTTTCTACCTGGGTACCTACATACATATGTATTATAGTGATTCTTAACTTCAGGTTAATGCACGATATTTAGACTTCTCACTCGAGTCAAGCATCGGTAAATATGCATAGTATGACCACGAGGAGAGCTCATTTATTACTTACTTCTCCATGTACGCATCCGATCCCGTACTAATGTAATGGAAGTGGAAACATCTTTCATGACGGTGCGATACTACGTACAATACAAGACTCAGGTGCCCGCAAGACAAGATTCACGCTAGAAGCACGCTAAGCTAAGACCAATTGTTACCAAGGTGTCAGTTTTGAGACTAGCGTGCAGGTTTGGCTGCGGTGCATTAGGCTAGCCTCAGAATTGAAAGGATCCAGCCAATGCAAATTCGGCTGCGATGACGTAGCAGTAAGGGACCAGCTTTTTTTGTTCCCACTTTGTGGATTGTCTGAGCTTCCAACGCCCAAACCCGCGCTCTGCCGACCCCATCCACTACCCATGGAGCCATCACCCGCCATCATCTCCATCCTCCGTTCTTAAATAGAAAAAAAGTGTGTACCTTACGTATGCGATCTTCCCAATTCGACCACCTTTTTTATTACTTAAAACGAAGATCGAGACACTAAAGTCAGCCCATTCACCTTTCAACAAACACAAAACATACCCAACTTGCCCACCTTTTGAGTATCGCATTTTACCTAACAGCTTCTGCGTGTGTCTGCCTAAAGCAAAAAAAACAAATATCATCCTTTCTCTATCAGAGTTAAGGTTGCCGGAGCTTCTCAATCATCGTCATCTTTGTTACTGTTACTTTTTTCTGTTTACGTCATTGCAACCCTCACACCACTCGTCGCCAATCCACCATCCACCACCCACCATGCATCGCACGTATTCTATGCGCCAGAGTCGGGCGCCTACTGCCTCTCAGATTCAGGTAAGTCCTATTATCCTTGTCCATTGCGCTTTGATACGCATTGTTAACTTGGTCGTGCACAGAACCCCCCTCCCCCGCCATCGACTACAAAGTCTGGTAGACTCTTCGGAAGAGGCGGATTCGGTAAGTTACTTCTATGGTCTTCAGCATACAATTACCCTTAAACTCCAACACTCTATTGCAATTGCCAAGAACCTTGGAGCTAACAATAATCCAAGGTCATGCGCTCCGTCGCAATGCCGCTGGCGCCTTCGGACCGGACCTCGCTAAGAAGTTGACCCAGCTTGTCAAGATGGAGAAGAACGTGATGCGAAGTCTCGAGCTGGTCGCGAAGGAGCGCATGGAGGTTGCTCAACAACTCTCCCTCTGGGGCGAGGCTTGCGATGAGGACGTTTCCGACGTTACCGACAAGATTGGTGTGCTTCTCTACGAGATCGGCGAACTGGAGGATCAGTATGTCGATCGCTACGACCAGTACCGCGTGACCATGAAGAGCATTCGCAACATCGAGGCCTCCGTTCAGCCTAGCCGAGATCGTGAGTACCACCAGAAAACAACTATATAAGTACATTACCTAACTAACAGTACAATAGGCAAACAGAAGATCGCCGACCAGATTGCGCAGCTCAAGTACAAGGAGCCTAACTCCCCCAAGATCGTCGTCCTCGAACAGGAACTTGTCCGCGCCGAAGCCGAATCTCTCGTCGCCGAAGCCCAGCTCTCTAACATCACGCGCGAGAAGCTGAAGGCCGCCTACACCTACCAGTTCGACGCTCTGCAGGAACACTGCGAGAAGGTGGCCATTATCGCTGGTTTCGGCAAGCACCTGCTCGAGCTAGTCGACGACACGCCCGTGACGCCCGGCGAGACCCGCGCCGCGTACGACGGCTACGAGGCCAGCAAGGCCATCATTCAGGACTGCGAAGACGCACTGACTAACTGGGTGTCGTCGAACGCGTCCGTGAACCCGAAGCTGTCCACGCGCGCCCGCACCCTGTCCACCCGCCGCCGCAACAACATCAAGGCCCGCGCCGAGGGCCTCGACCTGTCCGGCCAGGACGCCCCGCTTAACGACCGCGAGTCCTGGGTCGCCGCCGCCGAGCACACCGGCGTGCGCCACGAGTACGACGACGACGACGAAGAGGAGGAGCAGGCCCACTCCGTCCTCGACTCCGACGGCGGCCTCAACGGCGAGCACCGAGGCAGAGCACCCGAGATGACGGCCTAGGCGGCCGATTGTCCTCTGTGGTGTGATAAGGAGTTGGTGTAATGGCGTTTGACGGTGGTAGCAGCTCGCAACGTCGCTATTAATGTCTAATTCAATTCGATGAGTCTAATTTGGACGAGGAAAATGAGCTTGGCGGTGGATGGTTTAGGGTTGTCAGGACCAGGTTGGACTTGTGAAGCAAGCATTACGTGCTTCTTATCTTGCAAGGGCTTGGCAGTACTGCGGAGTAGTCTGGACTGAACTGGACGGGGTCGGAAACGAAAGGATGGACGGACGCAACGAACGAAGGGCTGAACAGATGATGGACGAACGAACATGCTACCGTACGTATAAGGATGGCTGGCTGGCTAGTGGCATAAGTGTTTGGTGGCCGCAGATTCTTGGCAATTGCTATTGCACCCGCAACCTGGAAGCTCTTCTGCGATCGCTGGACATGGACAACACCTGAGTAATAAACAATGATTTTCGGTACTTGTACTTGTAGTGACGGACAAAAGAATACATGCCTTGCTAAGGGACAATATACAAAGTCAAAGTGTCTTTGAAATCAAGTCGATTTGAGTAACTCACTTCTTTGGCCATCTCCTATGAAGAGTGTATGGTATCCACTTGACTTGGGATAGGGGATGAAGGCCGTCTGTTGACTTTAATAAGATCAAGTATAATGCCCCTTATTCCCAACAATTTCCTGCGCTAACTTGACTCCTCCTACTCCTCCCTATGTCTAGCCTAAATGATAATGATTAGTATAAGGTACTCCCATCTTATTATCAACGCAGTCCCAATCTCAACATTCTCTCCTGAGTCAGATTCGTATGTGTAAGCTATTCTATCTTCCTATTAAACCCCTTGCAGAAGATATGTATATTAAGTCAAGAAACGAGACATTTACTAAACATACACGCCAAGTCATATTACCCCTTTTCATTCGATGCGTGCGAAATAGCGACATACGTAAGCTATATCTTATAAGAGGGAATGGGTTACCAGAAGAGGGATAGAATGAAAAATAAACGACCCAGGCAGGATTCGAACCTACTTCTCTCCAGAAACACCATCCTGGGAATATGTCTCTCAACGGCTAGGTGTTTATCGAATGTTTACCATTACATTACTGAGCCCATGATGATAAGACGGCTCTCTCTGTAGTGGAAGATAAATAGCATATTCGATATTATATCTGCTTCCCTTATGACTCACGCATATACCTGTTTAGCAGGTATCTGTAATGTATGCGAAGACAAACTAATCCTAGGTTGGCTCAGGATAGCATAAGGCGTGTAAAGAAATTCATTTTGACGGGAGGGATGCATACCTAACTTAGCTTTTGCTAGTTGTACTGAATAGTTGAAGCATGACACGTAGAGATGCAATGCCAAGGATAAAGACAAAACAATATCTCATCCAGAGATATGAAGCAGAGATCCCCCTTCAACAACCTGAATGATATCTCAGGGAGAAAAAGAGTATAAAGGGCTAATTAGATCCAGCACGGGGGATCGAACCCCGAGCTCCTCCCTGAGAACGAGGTTTGTTGGCCTTTACACCACACCGGATTATCATCCCAGGGTTCTGATACTTGTGACAATTCCCACTCTAGCAGGGAATTCTATACCTAACATTGCTGATCCATAGATGGGATCCCAGAGAAAACCCGCAAACGAGTTTGGGTTAGTTCAGGCAAACAATACTACATACCATTTATATGGCAAATATAGTTCATAGCCACGAAACTCATGTCTAGATTGTAGCAAGTTATGTCATGATAAACGGTCCATTAAGGGGAACAATAACTTGGGAACTAATAGAGACATTATTTTCTGGTAAAATGGCGGGCACGGGACAATACCAACCTACCAGCTTCCATGAGCAGTCATTCCTTAACATTACAGTCAATCTGCCGAAGAGTATGTCACCTACGAAAAGTTCCGCATGGGTAAAAGTCAGTCAATTCATAATTGATTCTCTTCTCAGGTAAGCAACGCAAGATCTCATAACTCGCGGAGTCACCTAACTCGCGTGCTCAACTATACCATATCCAGCCTCCCTGAACCCCCTTACCATATCCCCTTTTCCTTTTTCCCTTACTTAGCAGCTAGGCAGCTTACGCACACGCCACCTTACTCCCCGAATCCAGCAGCGTCCGCAAGCTCCGCTCCCCCGCCATCTCGTGCCTCCCGCGTCCATGTCTCGCCAGCCTCTGCTTCAGGCGTCGCACCAGGCCCTCCTTGGACTGGTTCTGCTCGGGCACGCCGAAGCTGCGGCCCATGTACGGGCCCTCCTCGGTGAACGCGACTCGCTGGGCCCTGGCCTTGCGGTTCTCCCAGCCGTCGGTGGGGCTGTCGGTCGCGTGGTAGATGGCGACGACCTCGCCGCCGAGGTGGAGGAAGGAGCCGTGGCCGGGGCCGAAGGGGCCGGTGCCGTGCTTGCGCGTCTGCACGAGCGGCTCCTCGCCCTTGCGCCACGAGGCCGGATCCAGCGGGTCCCCGCCGATGTAGCGCAGCAGGCCCATCTTGTACTCGTGGGTCCAGCTGCCGGCGCAGCTGTACACGAGGCCGTGCCAGAGGCCGTCGGGCGAGCTCAGGAACTGCGGGCCCTCGTTGATGCCGTGCTCCGTGCCGTTGCCCTCGCGCGTGATCTCCCACGTGTTCTGCGGGTGCGAGATCATGACGGCGCCGCTGGCCGCGCTCGTGGGGTCCTCGAGCTTCATGATGAAAAGCTGCTGCACGAGGTCCGAGGATTCGTCCGCCATGACGCCGTTTTCGAGAGGCCAGCCCGAGTAGACGAAGTACAGTTCGTTGTTGAGCGTTAATACCGTGCCATCGATGGCCCACTGGTCCGGCATGTCGTGAATACGACCGAGGAACTCCCACTGCCCGTGACAAGGATCCTCAGATGCCGGTGGTCCACCGAGGACATACATCCGATGACTTTTGTTTCCGTGGGATGGGTTCGCAGCGGCGTAGTAGACGTACCATCGGCCATGCAGAGCGTGTAGTTCAGGAGCCCACAAATCAGCTGAGTGATCGGTGCCTTGAGGTGGAGTCCTAAGGTGAGTTTTAGTAATTGGCAAACAAGATACATAAGGTAGGTAGGTATTTTAGGACCGAAACATACCAGATTACATGTCTAGAAGCGGCGCCCTCTATGTCGGAGAGGGTACCGGAGGACCATATCTCAACTCTGTTTCCGGTGGTGAAGGTCTTATTATCACGTTAGTTTACTCCTCAGGAGTATATATGTATATGGGACTATATCTAACTTACCAGGTAGTAACGTCCTCGGAAAATGGTCACGAATGGATCGGGAGTGCCGACCGAGGTGATGGTGAGGGTCGAGTTATCGTACTGCATGGCGGCGGCACCTTCAACTGACAAGAGCGACGCCAACGCGCGGCTCGCACCCGTCAGGGCATCCTTGAGCAAGATATACAGCATTGTGTTGCTTTCCTCTTTCAGTTTTTCCTTTTGATTGACGTTCGGCCCGAAGTGATCGTGACGTGTTCCCCAAACTAAGATTGTTTCAGTAAACGCCGATCTGTCGAGGCTGCAATTCTAGGTTCCGATTGAGGCGGGGAAAAGACTAAAAAGTCCTGGCGAAGACGACGAAGGTGTGAATATCTGAGTAGACAAAAACTCAGATCAAGTGTCATCCGATTCTTGAGACGCCGTAAGGTTATGACCAGGGACGGGATGTGTTGGACCAAGAGGTGGCTGACGACGCGATTTGGGATGACAAAGATGAAATGGGTCCTTCTCGATTGTGCACCTAGTGTCACGTCTAGAAAATGAAGTGTGTGTGAATTGGAAGGTGACTCGATATTTAACATTGAAGATTTCAAAGTTGTGCACATCGGATGATTGCAACTACCTACGTAAGTTCCACCTTCCTACCTTCCCACCTTCTACCGAAAAAATGGTTGCCACGTCCAACACACCTAACACGTTCCTAAGGTTCCCAGTGTCCAATGTTAAATGTTAAATGTAAAATGTACATTTACACCTTCCTTCCCGCAAAAATGATACAGCGAATGCTTTATAAGTGAAACCCATCACAGCGCCGTGCTACACATAGGGCAGCTCTAGACAATGGGATGCCGCCTTGTCTTATCTTGTCTTGTTTTTATACAGAGCGAGTGCCCCCCAAAACGCCCGCAAAATGAATGGTATAATGATGACCATGATAAATAAGTCCAACCCAAAACCCCTTTGAACCAACCAAAAAAAGAAGCGTTGTCCACGTGAAAAAGTAGTTGAGATATGCGCCTTGCTTATGATAGATGAAAATCAAAATATAATCCTAAGCTTAGCTTATGTAGCTTGACTTAAGTCGAATAAAAGTCGCCAGCGTAAGCATGTTCTGCTTCCCACTTAAGGAAATCTCCTAGGTCGTGTCCAAGATTATATCCCATGGGGACGACATCTAAATCGTCGCCCTCTTCGCTTCGAATGACCCGAAGGTCCAACATCGGGCTTTGCGGAAGGCTCGCGTAGCTCTCGCGACAGTCGTATTCCTTGGAACCCCGGTCGCTAAGACGCATCTTCGAAGTATCGAGCTCAAGTCCGTCCATGTCGAGATCAAACTGTCGGCCTTCAGCTGCTGCCTTGCGTTGAAGCTTATGCCAGTGGTGATGCGGGCTGTACGGGTTGTCTTTCTCGATCTCAGTGTACGATACGTCCGAGTATTCTTCACCCGATGACGTGCTCGTAGGACTAGGGACTTCAAAATCCTGGGTGACAAGTCCCCCAGAGTTCTTGAAATTCAACGAGCCAAACCAATCGACGAGTTCGTCAACCTCTTCCGCCTCCCTTCGACGAATGACATCGTCGCTTTCAGAAAACCAGTCTCCAGCGCCCCCAGAAATAGCCATCTGAAATGCCGTCCAGTCTAAACCCTCATCCGCCCCGACCTTCATATCCGGAATGAGATCAGACTTTGTCAGTCGAATTGGGCCATGTCGAAATCTAGGACTCGTTATGGAGCATGGTGATGATTGAAGGAAAACATAATTTGAATCGGCAACGATGTCTCGAGAACCTCTAAAGTTTGACCCGGGGAAATGACCGGGGAAATGCTCCTCGATCGATGAAGACACGGCGTCCGTTTCTGGAATACTGGGCAATGTAGTTCGCTGGCTTCGCGTAGCAAACCGAGCAGCATGTCTCAACGGCGGCGTAGGGAAAGTGGCATTTTGAAATTGCATCGGTCCGTCTCCGATATCTGTCTGCGACACTGCGGGAAACTGGTTGTCCCCAACCATCTCGCTTCGACCCTCTACTGCAAAATCCCGCCGTACAACGGCCTCAAACGATTGTGCAATAGGGGTTTTCTCATCCGACCCATCATCGTTGACATTCACACCGGCCGACCCGATTCGGGAAGGAAGGCCGTCGAGGTGAAACGGCTCAATCGGGGTATCGCTTGACTCGGTATCTAGGGTCTCGGTCGACTTTTCTGACTGCATTATCGACATCCTACGCAGTCTATAGGCCTCTAGTTGACTTGGCGTGAGCATCTCATCCACCTCAACTCTATGAAAAAATTTCCCGCTAAATAGTTCTGTTACATTATCGGATAAGGTCCATCTTGGACCGCTTTTAGTCGCCGACTTGGCTGCAGCAGGCTTACGATACGGCTTCATCGCTACCTTTACTTTCTTCGACTTTTTCGACTTCTTCCTCTTGACACCGTTGGGCACAGGTACGTTTCGTCTAGGTGAGAGGACGGGCGAGGTGACGGCTTGACGTGGTGGAATGGGAGTAGGCATCCGATTTTGAGAGGCCAGCGGTACTGGCTTTAGAATAGGTGAGTGATCGGGTGTTGATGTAGGTAGTCTTGGTAGTTCCTTATTCTGAGTCTGTTCCCTAAATTGACTCTCGGCAAATTGTACTTCAGCGAGCGCGTTACCAACTGCTTTGAATGCCTCATCTGCCTCTTGTATGAGGTGTTGGATATTGTCTGATAATGAGTCCTGCCGCTGTAAGTGTGGCTTTGTAGGTGTCGCTTTGTCTTCCGATTGAAAAGATAAAGCCTCAATAAGATCTATAGTCGACACGGATGACTCAGCCTTATGATGCTTTAGTGACTCCGAGGACCTTGCATGGCCTTTCGGCGGAGGTTTGGGAGGGAATTCATCGCCGCCGTAGCTTGTGGCGCTGGATAGTTGTAATGATTCTTGACTCCGATCTTCCTTTGACGATATCGAACAAAGCGGCGACCTCGACCTCTTTGAGTCGGTCGAGTGTTTTTCGAGGTGGCGCTCACTACCATTGAACGAACTGGCCGAAGAACGTGGCGTCTCGTACGTAGGAAGCGGTGGTAGAGGGTTTATAATATCATGAATACTTTGTTCCCTGCTCACTATAATCGGTGGCGTCGGTCCGTTCTTATTACTATAAGGCCACCTCTTAGTGGTTCCCGAATCTTTCTTCCCGTCTTTGTGATCCAGTCTGTCGGTACCAACCGAACCCCCATCTTCATCTTCATTTTGAGCTCGCCTTGGTGAGATAAGCCTTCGTATGCTACCAGATACCATCGATACCATCGTGGTGGAGAG